AGTATCTAGGGTTTCACCAGCTCCATTATGCACATTACGGAGTTGGTTGTGGCATTCTTTCGGTGGTTAACGCTTCCTGTTAACAGCTCAGACATATGTAGCAAAAGGGAACACAGTCACGAAGATTTGCCCTTACCATTAATAGAAATCTGAATTATTCTACAAATGGAAAGTCCCTCCATTAAGAGTCCATGCTATCAAAAATGTGATGCTTCAGTTTGTAAAAGAAATCCATATAAATCAAGCGGTTTATAAGTCTTATGAAGAGGCACTTTGTAACTGTACTTGCTTAACGTGCAAGAAGAAACCTCACTGGTTCTTGTGGAGGCTCAAACATGCTTGCGTGACACGCGACAACAAACCTCATTGGTTCTTGTGTCAGACAAGCATATTTGCCATATTTACCATATTTGATGTTCTCTATGTATGTGCATTGCTCAATGTTTATATGCAAATAAACACCTAAATTAAATCTGTTCATCATAAAGTGATCATGTCTTCAGAAGATTTCAATTAAAACCACTTGATTCATATGGATTACTTTTACCATCTCTTTTTACGAACTTTTTGAAGTATCAAAGTTTTGCTGTGGACTTTCAATGGAGAGTTTGAAATCTCTCAGGTTTCTAATGACATGAGGGTCAGTAAATGATGACAGAATTTTCATTTGTTGAGTGAACTAATCCCCACCCCTCCAAAAAAAAAAAAAAGCCAGCTAAATGAAAGTCAATTACTTTGCAAAAAGCAATACTAAAAAGTTTAGGCAAATTCCGCTCGCCACTCACTTCTCCAAGAGCATTAGCAGTTGGGGTAAAGGACATTTAGGCATATTTGATGGGGCTTGGAGCCACACGAAATCCCTGAGGACCAATTCTGGGACAGTTTTTGAATGTTCCGCTTGGTGCAAGTATTCAGGTCTGAAGATGAAAAGCAATTACAGGAAAATTGCTTTTCTGTTCTTCTCAGAGTCTGTGCTCTCGCCCGGGCGAGTCGAACCAGCACAAAGAGATAGGAACAATTTTCTATTTTACCAGCTGACAAGCTTCTAAGTCACTGACAGCTAAAAACAAAATAGGAAAAATGGGTGAATAACCTCAGACCAGAGGAATAGCCTTGATAACATGTTCCTATAACTCTTGTACTCTCTCAGGCTATTACACTACTGAGCAGAACTGGCCATGGGAGAAAAAAAGCTACTTGTAGAGACAATCAGACATCAAGGACTGAAATAAATGAATAGTGCTCACAGGATCAGTGAGATGACTGTCGCAGGTGCCGCAGCAGTAAATTAACTCACTAGCATGATAATGGGTGAGTCTGGTGTGAAGTGATTGGATGATCGCTTCTACTTGGAAACTGAGTTTTTCTGCCTACTGCAGATGAATGTCAACTTTGTCATTTCTGAGAAGTTTCTTCTGATTTCTTTAGGGTGGACTTAAAATTATTTATTTTTTGCTTTTAATTCTTTTGATTGCTTTTGAACAGTAACAAACATGGAGCCTTTACCAAAGATCAGTTTGAATTGGAAAATTAAAATGATGTGTTTCTTGAAACTGAAGGTAGTTTGCCACCCAAACAGGTAATGCCTAAACACACATTGTTTTTGTATAAAGGTCCCTCTTACAGGTTTCCAAAGCACCATAAGGTCAGTTCTAATGATCTAGAACAAATTCAGGTGAGCTTTCTAGATACCCAGGCAAATATTTAATGACTACTATCGGTCCATCAGATGCAATCCATGGAATACATCTATGGTGCCATGAGAAATTGACCACATGGAGGTGTCTTAGTAGACAGGAAATAACTTGAATATAATAATTACTTTTATTTAGAACTGTCCTGAATAAGTGGTTTCACATAACAGATGTTTACATGGTCCATAAGACAAAATAATAAACAAATTTACAAAAATGAACCAGCTCAAATGTTTACACACCCTAATATTGTGTGTTTTTACCTCGGTGACCAAAAAAATGTTTTATGTTTTGTGATAGATGTTCATGCCCCTTGTTTATCCTGAGCAGTTATACTGTCCACTGCTCTTTAGAAAAATCCTCCAGGTCTTACCAACAGTGACTGTAGGATTTCGAGATCTATCTTTTCACACTGAGGACCATTGAGGGACTGATATACAACTATCACAAAAGGTGAAAAGATGTACTGATTCTCAAGAATAAAGAGCTATGGGATTTAAACTTTAATAGACAATGGTTTGTACATTTGTCTTATTTTGTTTAAAGATACATTTTATTTAAAGTATTTTTTCCATTTAGTAACTTCAGAAGCTTCAGAATGTTGCCATCTTGAACATCAGTGAATGTTACACACACTTGAATCTTAATACAGTCTGTTAAATAGCTTATTCGGGACAGTACTAAAAAATAAAATGCAATTTTTATTCCCCCTTATTTTGCTAAAATGATCAACATCTTGCATATTCTGCAAGGGGTATGCAAAATTATGAGCAGAACTCTTTATTGGGAACAAAAAAAATGGACAGTGTGCTACATGGTTGTGCTTTAGAGAATAAGGTTTGTTGATTTAATTGTGCAATGAGATAAAACAGGCTCACTTGAGTCTGGCTGAAGAAAGAGGAGTTGGGGGAAACATTCCTGGCTCAAAGGAGTCAAAGTATGTTAGGGTCCAGGAGAAGCTGCAACAAAGAATTCCAGCCACAGAAGACAACACCAAAATACTCCAAAAACCTGCAAGAAAAAAAGTCCTGATTTACAACATGCAGCCACTATGTTACAATACACTACGTCTAATTTGGACCTACCCAGGAGTCTCACTTCTGATCCATCTTCAATGGTTATCCTCTCTGTTCTTAGATCTATAGATTAAATAATTATTAATCCAATTAAGCATATATGCATAATGCATATATTTAGGCACTGCACATGCTTGAACTTCATGAGAAGGGTTCCGAGAAATAGATATGAATTTGTTTTACCTTTTAATACGATGTACAAAAAGGAGATTAGCACAGCGATAAATGAGACGACGACTACGCTGCATAGCACAGCGACTAATCGAGCGGGCCACAGGTGTGTGTCTTTCCAGTACAGCTGGCGTAAGGGTAGCCGCCCAGGCGTTGCGCTGCGGATCTCGCTGCTTTCACGTGAAGCTGCATTCGTTTCCTCCGACATGTTTGTTCTTCCTGCTAATGCAGCATTATCTTCATCATCAGAATAAATGTCTAAAGACTGGCCGTCTTTGTCTCTGGCAAACCGCAGCATGGTCGCCAAGAAAAGAGTTTCTTAAGTTGAAATTGTTGGCTAGTGAGTCACATCCTGCGTTTTTAGTTTGCGCGTTTCCGTTTCCTAGACAACTGGCTAGTTAGTTAGCACGCTAGTAAATCTCACTTTTCAAATGATTAATTTCACTCGATTTGTACAATGCATGTTAAATACGTTTTATACAGTTCAACAAGAAATACAACTGATTTAAAAGCGGATTTCGCTGAACACAATGTGTAGTAATTTGAAAATTGTCAAACGTTGAATAGTTTCAAAACATCGCGGTTTGTGCTGCTTCCGTATTTGTGAAGCACCGCCTACATTATCGTGTTGTCCAATCGTTATCGACGACCCATGCAATACGACCATACGATTGGATGTGATAACCGTCAATAAACAAAAGTACTTGAGTTGTTACACATTGTAAATCTTTAGCACACAGAACTGTTTTAATTCAGACTGGTTGGTGTTATTAATGATACTCCTGCTTTAATTTAATTTCATGTAACGAACGTCAAAAGTATTTTCTTATTGCTTTTGGGATTCAGTGCTCCAGTGATATTTATATATATAAAAACAATAATTTGATGCAGACTGACCACAGACTGATTTGACTTTGTCACTGTTGTAAGAGATAATGTGAAAGAAAAATTAAATTATGAATGAAATATTACTTACATGAATACATATTTTTTTTTAGCTCATGTGTTTTGCTTGAGTTTATTCTTTTTTTTTTTCTTACAGAAGTTCATAACTGAAAAACAACTTAATATTTCAAGTTAAATGTCATCTAATCAATTTTCAGAAATATGTTACAATCGTTATAGTCTGTTCATTTTGGATAAACGCTTCTGTTAATTACTTGAGTACGTTTTTACATTTTTTGAGTAATTTTCACTGTAAACACTTATCTATTGTATGATTTCACTTCTGTTTATCACAGTTCTTTCATGGAACACTTCTTCAGCACTCTTAAAAGTTTCTGACAGTGGCAGTTGGGAAGTCTGCCCACGTTCTCCATAGCGTGAGGAGTTGTCAGCTTTTATCTTTCTCCTCTTTAGTTCTGCATCGTGAACTGGTCCCCAACCTTGTGTGATGTCCATTAGCCAGCCGACAGGATATAGGTAACCCACTGTGACCTGGTGAAACTGTTGAACTGAAGTGGTTGAAAATTAGATGATTCACCTATTGCTCTTTATGTACATACATTTTTTAAATACAGAAAGGAAAGCATTGTTCATCACATATTTGAAAAATGAGGGTCTAAGTTTCACCGTTCAAGTATTTTGAAGCATTTTATCAGATAATTTATGCTGAACGTATCTCCCTTCTTTTACAACATATAGCAAAATATTACTGTCATTTTGTGTATTATTTTCATTTCATTTTTAGTATTGCAGATCACAGCAATAGTGTTGCCACAGAAATAGGCACTTTTAAAAAAAAGAATAATTAAAAAGTTTTAATAAAATAATATAGTTTAAATAAATTACTAACTGTAATCTTTCCATGTTTATTAGTATAAATGCCTGTTCCATGGAGCTGGGGCCAAAAAGAGATGGCCAAGATCCCTGAAAACAAGGGGTTGCTACCACCTTGTGGCAGCATTAGGTGCCCACACCACTTTTATTTTCAAGTAGCTCCAGCAGCACACTATTGCATTTATCACTGAATGTCCTCACTTGTCAATCCAGATTTTCAGTAAAATAAAAATGAATTCTTGCATCGACCACACAAAAGAATCACTGTTTTTAATGGTGCTGGTGTCATTGCTTTATTTGCACACAACCACTGATTCCAGTTAAAGAGATCAAAGTAGAAAAAAGTTATATGTGCCACTAGTGTCTGTTCAAGCTTTCAAGTGTTACGTGCAACCACAGACATTTACCATATGCAACAATAGTGATGAGAGAGCAATTTAGGTCACAGAGTAAGTTGATTCACTGTCTTCACCATCAGATTAAATAATACTGTCATACTAAACAACATAAAAGTTAATAACATTCCAGTGATACTGCAGGACAAGTTGGTTTGTTTCAACAATATGTATAGCACCACAATGGATGAACAATGTAAAAAATAAGAGGCTCAATTTTGTAGCAAAATATCTGTACATTTAAAAAAAAAAGACTTTTTTTTGTCCAATGAAATGTCTTCGTTTTAAAAAAAACTGCAAACTCTTTTCCACAGCTCACAAATGTCACATGAGATAAAACCAGTAGGAGAGCAAGTCTGTGATTAAAATGAGATGTATTGTACATACAATGTCACACTGGTTGTGAATGCTTGGTAGTAAACATTTTCTCAACATTTCATGTTATTTTTCAGTCCGCAAAGAAGAGTAATCCTCAATAGCATTACAGTATCAAGTCCAGCTTAAGATCGAATCTCCCTCTCGCACTTCATCTTGTTTTTTAATCAAAAGTTCAGTTTTAAGATGATCAAAGTACAAAAAAAAAAAAAATATTAAAAGTGCATCTTGTAAATCTTCCCCTCAGAAAAAGCTGCTCAGTTTGAAGTTTTAGAACCAGCGGTTAAATGACAATGAAAATGAAAAGTGGTGGGCCAATCCAAGGACTTTGGCATTTCTGCTCTGTCTTGTACATAATACACAATGTCACAAAACTAAATAGTTAAACATAAAAACCACAATCTTCTTCCTAATGTCCATTTGTAGAATCCACATTGCATCCAACACTAGGGTGACCATACCTCCTCTTTTCCCCGGACATGTCCTCTTTTTGGACCTAAAAAAATGTTTTGTAAATCGCCCGAAATGTCCGGGATTCAGCTTTTGCTTTCTACAGTCACCATTCATTGTGTGCATTTTTGTATTAAAGCCCTGCACGGGACTGTTTTCTTAATCCTGCTCCCAATTTCTGACTATTACAGCCTGCTCCCGCAAACATTCTAATATCGAATATAATTTTCATGCATCAAGGAGTCGCTATCAATATGTGGAGTATTTAAATCATTTTGGATGTAGCTCGTGTTGGATGCAGGGTTGCCAAATCCACATTTTTTTGCACGGAACTGGGCTGATTTTAAACAGTTGCGGTGGGTTGATTTTCTCCCGTGGGTTAAAGATTTGAAATATTGCATAAATTACATTTGACTGAAATGCTTGTATTGTTCAATTGTTTCAAAACATTTTGCATTCTACCTATGCTAAAACGGTGGTAGAAGTTACGTTTTGTGAAGGATGACCACTGGTAGGAAGCCTTTTAGCTGTGTTTAAAATCAATATGCATAACAGTGACTGTAAAATATGTACTTTTGAAAACTAAAATATGGTCACCCTACAACACTCTACACTTCATGTTTTCTTCATCTTGCTTTCTTTAAAACAGTCCATTAAATCGAGATGCCAGATCCCAGGTAAACAGAAGTGTTCAATGTCACATTTATCCATCCTTCCGTTGTTCTAAGTGTGCTATTTTCTGTTCTTTTTTTTCAGTAGTGTCACTGGCCCACCTTCTGTCCTTAAAAGTTGATCAAGCTTGGTTAGCAGGTGGTGATCTCCATGTTGCGTAGCTGAAGGTGTTGTACCTCCAAGTTCCTTCTCCCACTCCTCCTCAGGGCATCGGACCGTCTGAAGGGTTGACTGCGCAGGTCTGAAGACAAACATGTAAACCATTACAAAGTGAACACAACTAGTCTGGGCCTGCAGATATGGATGAGACGGGGCCAAAGATGGGTACAAAACAGGCCGGTGTGTGAATGTTTGGTTAGTTTTAGATCAATTTAGTAAGGATGCACAATATTTCGGTACCATATTTGTCTTTGGGTGTTTCAGAAACCAATTGCAAAATGGAATGCAATAGTTTAATATTGGCCATTTATCGGTCTATACCATTTATCAGTATAGGTTTGATATAACGGCTGATACTGAATATATAAGTGGGCATACTCATTTCCCCTACTTTTTCATTATGGTTATGGAAAAGTTAATCTTTACAACACACTAATAATTTAATAATTTTTTAACACAATTGAATATTTTAATATTGCCCATTTATCGGTCTCCACCATTTAAAGGTATAGGTTGATATTGGATATAATGGTTGATACTATCTATCTATCTATCTATAATTGAAAATATATATATATATTATATATATATATAAATATATATAAAATAATATTTTAATATTTTACACATGACATTTTAATATATTTTAGTATTGGTTGATACTGAATATTGAACTATTTATTTTCCCTGTTTTTAGATTGACAGGACAGTGAAGTTAATCTCTACAAAACAGCAATATTTTAATAAACGGTTAGATGTAATCTTAAGCAAATGAAAAAAGGCAATATTCATTCTTCATATTGGACATTGTAATGTTGCGATGCCTAAATTTAATTAGAGCATTTAAAATGGCCGATTTTTGTTTTTGATGTTTTAAGTTATTCAGATAAAACAGAATAGTATATTTATCCGTTTTCAACTACAACAAAATATTATCAGTTTATAATATCAGACAGAATTGTAATATCAGTGCATCCCTACAATTCAGATCCCTCTGATAAGTCATGATATGTTGTAAGGTGGTTACCAAGAGAAATTTTACTCAATGGGAGGGAACACAATAGTGCAGGAAACAAAATGCAAAACAGAGAAATTATTGAAGGCAGGCATGCATTTTTATGCATAGAATTCACTTTCCATCCTGTATTTAATGCCCTTATCCAGGTGAATGGTAAACAAATGAAGAAACATATAGAGAGAAGGATGGAGGGAATGACTGGGAGATGAGTGAAGAAGATACAGACTTAAAGGCACCTTTCTGAGGGGACAGAATTTAGTTTAGTAATGGAAGTCCTCGGAGAGGGCGGGGTCACAGAAGAACCGCGAGCCACGTTTGGCAGATCGTGCGGTAAAGGGGACGGTCTTCAGCACTGCAGCAAAATAATAGCCAATCACAACACAGAAACACCAAAAGCTAGAAGCTCTAGAAAAAGCACAGAATCAGACAGAAACTTCAAGCCTCTAAACTCCAGTACGGCTAAACAGCATGGCGTCTACTACTACTGTACGTCTACTGTTACTATCAAAAGAACAAGACCAATACACACTTAGGAAAACAGATTCATCTGACGTACGTACAATCAAATGAATCTGTTCGGGCTTGCATCCGGCAGCGTTCTTACCCGTAATGATGTCCTCAATGGCTCCATCTTTGCCTTCGTAGACGTGGCGGCTATCTTTGCCTTGTCTCTTCCTTAACTCCGCAATCAGCCCCTGCTGCTGCCGCTTGCCCTTGTGAGATGGTGACTGGAGTTTGTGCAAATTAATAAATGATAGATCAAAGTTAGTGCACACAGTTCTGACGTAATCTTCACACTTAATATTTCTTTAATGTACATTGTAGTGCCCTCTAGAGCAGGGTATTGACACAAATCGCATGATTCGATTTGATTTCAATTCACAAGCTTGCGATTTGATTCAATTCTGATCTCAGTTCGATTCGATATTGATTCAGCTACAGTACATGTCAGCTTAAGGACAAACTTCTCTATTAACTAAAAACTAATGCTGTAAACTATACAGGGAATTCTGTCAGTTGGTACATTACTATAATATTAAAGATTAAAATTAAATTATTTGTATACAAACATTTCAATTGCACAAGTTTTTTAAAAAATAACAATAATTATATTTCTACTACAATTTGTTTTTTTATAAATATTTTTTTAAATAATTAAAAATATAAATATTTAAATGGTGGCTGTTCAAAACATACTGATTTATTCAAACATACACTGCCATTCAAATGTTTGGGATCAGTAAGATTTTTTATGTTTTTTTAATGGAGTCTCTTGTGCTCATCAAGGCTGTATTTTAACAAAAATACAGAAAAAAAATGTAAAGAAAGAAAAAAAATTTACTGACTCCAAACTTTTGAACAGTAGTGTATATTGTAACACAAGATTTCCGTTTTGAATAAATGCTGTTTTTTTTAATTTTGTATTCATAAAAGTATCCTTAAAAAAGTGTCACAGGTTCCAAAAAACATGAAGCAGCACAACTGTTCCAGCACTGATAATAAATCAGCATATTAGAGTGATTTCTGAAGGATCATGTGACACTGAAGACTGGAGTAATGATGCTGAAAATTCAGCTTTGCATCACAGGAATAAATTATATTTTAAAGTATATTAAAATAGAAACTGTTATTTTAAATTGCAATAATATTTCACAAAATAACAGTTTTTTTTTCTGTATTTTTGATCAAACAAATACAGCCTTGATGGGCACAAGAAACTTTGGTAAAAAATATTAAAAATCTTACTGATCCCAAACTTTTGAACGGTAGTGTACATTAAATATTTGAGAACAAGGTAAGTAAAAATGTAACGATTATATAATATAATACATATATTTAGCAAAATGCTCTCTCTAAAGTTAATTTTTGTAGTTAACTATCAAGCTATGATCATTGAATGGCTTTCCCGAAGTAAATGTAACGTTACATTTACAAGCTGTTTTATTGACGGCTTTCAAGTTGAAACACTTGGTTGTATGATTACAATATACATGATACATTTTAGTATGTTGTACTGTATTTTTCAAACTTCTCATGTTCATTTATGTTTATTCTGTGCTGTAACTAGTAGTAAAAAGGAAGAGAGGATCAGTTTATGTGCATGGCACTTTGCTTGAACTAAGGCAGCTACAGCGATCTAGCTACAGCGATCTATCACATCACATTAAAGAGTGCCAAAATGGTATTTATTGTTCGAATTTCATAATAAAATTGACAGAATTTGAAATCTGACAGTTTCAATCAATAGTTTGTTGGATGGAAGGCATGCTATAAAATGTGTGTGTAAAGTCTTGTTTACACACCAACTGAAAACAGCATAAAGTAAAAGATCATTTTTTGGGATTTAAGAATCATTATTGGTTCATCAAAATGAGAACTGATAAAAATCGAGAAACTGATATTTTCAATCCAGCCCTAGTGTGCTCTACTACAGCTCTCATCTCATCATACCTGTTGATTCTCGTGCTCCTCCATCATAGCCTCCTGTTCCAGAAGTTTCTCCATCATCAGCTGTTCTTGCCTCTTCTTCTGCTCGTTCTCTTCATCCGCTTGCTGAAAACAATGACAAATTAGATCTGGGCCTTGTGTGAACAAAGAGGAAATTGATGCACTGATAGACTCACCCTATAGGACTTGATGAAGCGAACAAACACCGGGAAGAACACAGAGGGTGGCATGGTCTTGGGGCTCTCCCCGAAGAATTTGACAACATCATCAAAGGCATCCTGTAATTACATGCAAGCCACATTAACATAGATTATCCCTCATGAGATTCAAACCTACAGCCTTACCACTACCAGCTCAGATTTTTAACCGCAATACCCTACAGCCTTCTTTTTTCTACCTGTGCAATCCTAGCATCATCCAGGAGCTTCTTCAGTCTGGCCTCGTTGTGATGGATGAAGTCTTTGAGCAGGGAGTTGTGGCCATGCATGCTGTACTCTCTTCTGGTCAGATCCATACCTCTCTGTAGCTCCTTCACATCCAGGAGAACATTCTCCAGTGAGACTGCAACATGGGAATAATGAGATCCACAGTCAAAAACAAACTTACTGTAGAATCAACCAGATAACATATTAGCATATTAGAGCAAAAAATGAATATTAGAGGACAACATTTTTTGTATTTCTTTCTGTTAATGTGAGACCTAAGAACATTTTAAAATGTATTTAGAAAGTGCTATTTTAGTATTATTTATGTATTATTATATAATTTATTAACTTTGAATTATACTGTATTCTTTTTTATTTAAGTATCAGTGATTTTTTTATGTGCTTGTCACTTTTATTTTTATTTTTTTATATTTCTATTTAGTTTTAATTTGTTTTGATTTCAGTTTTAGTTATTTCAGTACTTTATCTCAAACTTATTTTATTTCCATTAGTTACCAAGGCAGCATTTCGAATTTTCATTTAAGTTTTTTTTTTAATCTAATATTTATATTTTAGCTTCAACTAAAAAAAAATAGTTAGGCACTAATTTAGAAATATAATTAACAATTTCTAATTAGTACATTTTAAATATATTTTCAGGGTTGATGGAGACTTACCTGCAGCAGCTTTCTCAATGTAGTGCAGCTCATTGTAAAAAACGCATACAACAGGATATTTCTCCTTCACCACATTGGCTATGTAGTGCAAAAGTGTCTGCTTCCTGTCTGTGGACTTGGTCTCCAACAGCTAAAGGCAGGAAATATAGTATTATAATAAAACTTAATAATGTTAATAATGTCAGAATAAATTTAATAATGACAAAAAGTGCACGGTTTTAATAATGACAAAAAGTGCATAAGTTACCAAATCCAAGCTCTGAAGTTTGAAGCCATAAACGGCTCCTCTCTTACTACTGTTCATGTAGTTCCCAAGGGCCAAAATGATCTGAAAAGAGAGATATCACATAATTACAAGTAAGGCTCTAAAACGGCAAGAAACTGTGTGACATTAAAGTTATTTTGGCTTACCTCAAGGATTTTCTTTAATTTCTGTGATGATTTTATGGATACAGATGCTGCTATGATAGCATGCAGTTGCTGTAGGAAAAACAGCAACAGCAAACAGACAAATGTATAAATGCATTTTAGATTGATCTTTGTTGATATTAATATTAATAATGTTGATATTATTCCTCTTGTTCTCATTCCACCTTACCGGTGTGAGCATCTGCAGGCTATCGTTAAAGTTGCCCATGACGGCCATGATGGTCATCCGCTGTGGCAGCCTTTCAATCTTACTGAAGAGCATCATGAACCGGTCCTCATCAGTGAGCCCGTCCATTGGCCGTCGCTCCCGCTCATACTGGCGGAGCATCTTCACCTCACTTTCAGTTGGCATGAACCGCATCAAACACTCCACGAAATCCACAGGCACTGTACGTAGGTCAAACCTGAGGGAGGTGAGAGAAAATTATCAGAGTGCCATTCAAAAAAAACAAACCTCAAAAATCAACATTAACAAAAACCAAAACAACACAAAATCAACAAAACCAAAAACCAAATCAAATCAAACAAAAACAAAAACAAAAACAAAACAAATCAAAACAAAACAAAACACAAAACAAAAAACAGCAGAACAAGAACTGACTGATGTTATAACAAGCAGATGAACAAGAGCAATCCCACAGTTTTGTAAACATCATCTCAGAGAATATGGTTCATCTTTATTTTGATATAACTAAAAAAAAATAGTTAGGCACTAATTTAGAAATATAATTAACAATTTCTAATTAGTACATTTTAAATATATTTTCAGGGTTGATGGAGACTTACCTGCAGCAGCTTTCTCAATGTAGTGCAGCTCATTGTAAAAAACGCATACAACAGGATATTTCTCCTTCACCACATTGGCTATGTAGTGCAAAAGTGTCTGCTTCCTGTCTGTGGACTTGGTCTCCAACAGCTAAAGGCAGGAAATATAGTATTATAATAAAACTTAATAATGTTAATAATGTCAGAATAAATTTAATAATGACAAAAAGTGCACGGTTTTAATAATGACAAAAAGTGCATAAGTTACCAAATCCAAGCTCTGAAGTTTGAAGCCATAAACGGCTCCTCTCTTACTACTGTTCATGTAGTTCCCAAGGGCCAAAATGATCTGAAAAGAGAGATATCACATAATTACAAGTAAGGCTCTAAAACGGCAAGAAACTGTGTGACATTAAAGTTATTTTGGCTTACCTCAAGGATTTTCTTTAATTTCTGTGATGATTTTATGGATACAGATGCTGCTATGATAGCATGCAGTTGCTGTAGGAAAAACAGCAACAGCAAACAGACAAATGTATAAATGCATTTTAGATTGATCTTTGTTGATATTAATATTAATAATGTTGATATTATTCCTCTTGTTCTCATTCCACCTTACCGGTGTGAGCATCTGCAGGCTATCGTTAAAGTTGCCCATGACGGCCATGATGGTCATCCGCTGTGGCAGCCTTTCAATCTTACTGAAGAGCATCATGAACCGGTCCTCATCAGTGAGCCCGTCCATTGGCCGTCGCTCCCGCTCATACTGGCGGAGCATCTTCACCTCACTTTCAGTTGGCATGAACCGCATCAAACACTCCACGAAATCCACAGGCACTGTACGTAGGTCAAACCTGAGGGAGGTGAGAGAAAATTATCAGAGTGCCATTCAAAAAAAACAAACCTCAAAAATCAACATTAACAAAAACCAAAACAACACAAAATCAACAAAACCAAAAACCAAATCAAATCAAACAAAAACAAAAACAAAACAAATCAAAACAAAACAAAACAAAACACAAAACAAAAAACAGCAGAACAAGAACTGACTGATGTTATAACAAGCAGATGAACAAGAGCAATCCCACAGTTTTGTAAACATCATCTCAGAGAATATGGTTCATCTTTATTTTGATATTAAAGGCAAAGGGGGAACTTACGTCTGGATTGCTTTGCAGATCTCTTCTGGGCTCTTCCCTGCCTTGCGGAGCGTGATGGCAAGGTTTTTGGCCCTGTTGGCCTCCAGTAGTGATACTTTATTGGGACCCTTCTGAGGAGCCTTCTGCTTTTGCATGGTCATGTCGACAGCAGGGCCCTGGGCTTTGGTCTTGAACATTTCTTCAAACTCATCCACATTTAAATCCTGCAAACAAAAGCATTCTAATAAAGTTGTAATCCACAGCACTCCTAGAACTTGGTGTTCGAAAACATTACCAGTCACCACAGTTAACATGGAATACAGACAACACTTCCTGGTCATTGGTTATTTCAAATACATTTTCTTCATATTGTTTTATCAAAATGTTCTTGCTCTGCCTCCAAAATTACTTTTCTTAACCCCTTCACATCCAGAAACATGGCTCGTTCTGGTCTTCAGCCAACATCAGTCTACATTTTTTTCCCCTCTGGAACTGTGTCAGATTATTGAAGTACAATGAACCGCCAAGGGCCCTGATGTTTGACTTTCTGTATGTGTCGTTTCTTGCAATTTTAGTAGCAGCAGTTACAGAATATATTTTAAAAAATGAGCTGAAACTGAACTGAGCAATAAACACCATCTGGCATCTTCCTAATATGTAGCAGCAACTCAAAACAGGAACATGATAATCAAGTAGACCAGCTTGGCGGTGTAATACATGCAGAGTTGATAGAGATCACACATTTCACACCATGTGATGTGCTGCAGACAAATACCTCTAAGATCCTCTCGTCATCGATCTCATTGAAGACGGTGCCATTTATCTGATTTGGTTTCAGAGCCACCCAATTGAACACTGGCATGCGGAACTTGGTTTTGATTGGCTTTTTAATTTTCACGGCTGTCAAGAAAAAAAAAAGTGTTCTGTGACTACCAAAACAACTACTCAATGAGATTAAAAAGAATGCAATCACAAGAATACATGATAACGTGTTAAGCAAAGACACACAACACATAATATGACTAGATCAGGACAGTTAAATGGTGGCCATGACAAATATCAGGAAACCTACAGAAGAGCTTGATTGGTCCATCTTTGAGAGCAGGAAAAAAGAGAGTAGATATAAACAAATGTTTAGAGAGTTATAAAGCACAAATGTCTAGAAAGAGAAAGCAGAAAATGCTTCTAAAAATCCAAAATCCACAAGAGCTTGGAAAATTATTTCAAGGAAAAATAATATGACTTAAAACAGACAATTAAAAAAAATCACACTGAAATAATCACATACACATACATACCTGTCAAGCCAGAGTTGAATATGACAGTTGGCGTGCCGCTTCCTGGGAGAGGAGGAGCACAAGGAGGAGGAGGTGGGGGTAAAGGAGCAGAGATCTCAATAGAGTGTCCAGGAGGTGGGGGAGGAGGAGGAGGAGGAGGTGGAGGCGGCGGCGGTGGTGGAGCAGCGAGAGCTGCCGATGGCCCGTTGGGAACTACAAGAGAAGAGAGAGAATATGTGAACCTCTAACAATTAAATAGTTAATTGAAGACAGCAAGATTGAGCACATCTGTATCCACTTAAAGGGGTCCTATTATGCTTTTTCACTTTTTCAACTTTAGTTAGTCTGTAATGTTGCTGTTTGAGCATAAAAAAGATCTGCAAAGTTACAAAGCTCAAAGTCCACTTCAAAAGGAGATATTTTATTTAACAGAAATCACTTTTCAAAAACTACAACGAACAACTCGTTTGGACTACAACGCATATTTTCCAGGATTTGTGATATCACAAATATCGACGAATGGGACAAGATCTGGTTGAGCTGCACTAGAGAAGGCAACGAGTGTTATCACTATGTAGGAGACACGCTAGCTTTCCCAAGGCAGACGAACTTAGAGTGGTTACAATCATCCGGGTTTAAATCGAGCTCAAATTGATTTGATTTTGACGCAATATTTACACTGAAGCTCGCAGACGGTAATGGGCATGACATTTCCCGACCAGCCGCCGAGTGCTGCCAATCACAACACACACTAACCCAGCTAACCAATCACAACACACACTGACCCAGTTAACCAATCACAGCACACACTGGCCCAGCTAACCAATCACAACACATTTCGTATTTCAGAAGGCGGGACTTCACTTGATACAGGAACTATTCGAGCCGTTCATGCCAGACTGGGGAGAGAGGTGTTGTAATAATGTAAAATATGTGAAAAATTATGTGTTTTTCGAACAACCTAGTATGAGAGCCTGTTCTAGTACACCCCAAAAACAAAATCAAGACTTTGTAAAAGAGCATAATAGGACCCCTTTAACAGAATTGCAACATGTAACAAAGAATAACTAATTAGAAGAGATAGACTGATAATTGGTTTGGATGTTTACATTATTCTACTTAATCAGTTCAGGTTAATATATCTGGTGGCTCTTTAAATAACTGTACCCACAAACACCATAAAAACTCTGGTGAAAACACCACGGTTAGTGCCTTTATCTGCACAGTGGAATGGTGTCCGCGAATATGAGCGAACATGTTGGATGTGTATTGCCTGCTTTTGCAGCCACTTTGCGTCCACATTGTTTGCAAATTGGATCCGTCATCAAGGACAACCACGCGTTCGTTTTTTATATCCGAAGTATTCCCATACTGCAGATTTTAACTTTTTTTTTCGGCGGGGATGGAGATTAGATATAATCTCTGTCTCTGCCATTTTCTCCGCTGTACGTGCGTGTAAGCAGCCAAGTGAATGCAGAGTGAAGCAGCTGACGGAAATAAGTTGCATACAGTACGTGCAGGTGACATTTTTTTTCATTCATTTTTTTGAAACCGTAGATATGCAAATGTTTACGGTATGATAACTGTGCACGTTCAAACCGTCATACCGGCATATCGTTACAACCATAGGATAATAATAAGAAATGTTTCTCAAGCACCAAATCAGCATATTAGAATGATTTCTGAAGTATCATGTAGCACGAAAAACTGAAGTAATGGCAGCTGAATATTTAGCTTTGCCATCCCAGCAATAAATTGCATTTTAAAATATATATAATATGTACATAAAACATTTCTTTATTTGAAATGAAACATATTGAATTTAATTTAAAGAAATTACAGACTTGAACATAAAAGACTTCTTTCATAAACCTTTTAAAAAATCTTGACCTCAAACTAACATTAGTGTATATATTTATAACTATTAATGTATTCATAATGTATATTATGTATTCAACCAACCATAATTTTTACACACAATACAGAAACAATCCCACTGGAGAAACCTGAAGTTAAAATGGATAATCATCATAGCTCACGGATCAACCCTTGTAGAGATTGCAACAGGGGCATTTTTAGGGGAATGTTGTTTCAGGTCTTGTGACAAAGTGGGCCCATTAAGATCCTCTGTGGTACAGACTTTTCATTGGGCCTGTGGGAAGGGGGCCCACCTATAAACATTTAGTTCTCAGGCCCTGTAAATTTAAGTAGTGGCACTGTTTGAACCCAAGACCATGAGGCTACACCACCCCAATTAATTAAAATTATGGCAGTCACACTGGGTAAAACCCATAACATTAATCATTTTTAGATGTAGAAAGTAATCATTTCATTATACCCTCATTAAATGTGTACTGAACCATCAGATTTGTTAAAACCATTACTCACCAGAGGAACTTGCCATTGGAGGTGGTGGAGGGGGAGGAGGAGGTGGTGTGGCCATTGCTCGAAGAGTGCCGGTCTGGGACGTGCTGCCAGAGCTGTACGCTGCCCCAGCACAGGCTCCGGCCAGAGCCATGGCTTCAGGGCAGGGGGAAAGAGCCATGGGCTGAGGAGGTGACGGCAGCGGAGACACGTCTCCTTCCCCATCTCCCTCACCCCTCACCTGGATCTGGAGACTGCCTCGGCACTCAAGCTCATGGATCTTCTTCTCCAGAGTGGACTGCCTCTGAATGGTCTCATCCTTCTCACGAACTATCCGCCGAAGCATGTGAACTTGCGAGCTGGCGTCCCGGTACACAGCCTGGGTAATTTCACGTTTAACAAGAAATACATTCAATTATACCATGTTATTGAATAAAGTTATCATGGCTATATTATTTCTAGAAGTTCTTTAAAAAAATAGTTTGTCAATCAATGAAACATTTAAACTGCGAATTGCTTCTGGTTTGTCTTTTGTATGTCCTTTGTTAAATACAGAGCTGTTTTACTTACCAAAGATAATCATAACTGATGTCCATCACATATACAGATTAATATCTAAAAGTTTTTCTTATTATTTTTCTTCCTCTCACTAACATTAAAAACAACTAGCTGTGTCGGTACCGATAGCCTAGTGCGCCAACATATAACGCTGTTGCGTTGCAGGCGTTCCGAGTTCGAACCCTGGCTCGAGGAACTTTCCCGATGCCACTCCTCTCTCTATCCCAATTTGATTCCGGTCTACACTATCCTATATTAATAAAGGCAAAATGCCTAAAATAAATCTTTAAAAAAAACAAACAAACAAAAAACAACTAGCTAGGTTAGCTGATTATCGCCATCATTTCATACAGCTGTAAACACACTCTCAGATAAGAGGATGTGATGAGACCTGTTTTCTGGTTTGGTTAGGTGACATTCAACATATACTCCATTGATCAAATTAGCCATTAATGACATTAAATAATATATCAATGTTTATGCAATTTTTAAATTGTTCGTCTATACAAATAGGACAACATGGCTTCTGTGTTGTGTGTCCATGATCTCAAATTTAAAACTTCACAATTTAAAAGATTCACAATTGCAATATAAATTTTACCAGTGTTGTTATTATTGCTAAAACTATCAAAAATGTTTTTGTTAATTAAAATAAAGCTGAAATAAAACATTCTATTAAAAAAACAAAAAACTTGACGTTTGCCTAGGCAATCTGAAATAAAATAAATTTAAGTTGAAGTACTAAAATGATCAAAACTAAAACTGAAATAAAAATAAAGTTAAATGCAAATATAAAAAAGACAAAAGTACATAAGATTACTAAAACTTAAATGAAAACTGAAAACATGAATATAAAAGGTAAGTTGGGGTAATTCAAAATATTATTAAAGTGCCCCTATTATGCCATTTTTAAGGTTGCTAATATTGTTTTATGAGTCTCCTAAAACAGGTTTACATGCATGCAAGGTCAAAAAACAAAAAGTTAGTTTTCTCAAAAAATAGATTTAATTTGACCTCATTTCTAAATGATTCGTAAACGACTCGTGCGAAGCAGTTCAAAGAATCAGTCTCTCTAAACCCCTCCTTTCCGTGAGCCCTCACTGCTGTGATTGGTCAGATGGCGCAGTCCTTTGTGATTGGTCCAGAGCCGTAGAGCGATTGGCTCTGGACTGGTCTACCGCGTACAGCGCGTGTTGGAAACGAAACGCTCATTGCCTTGACGGAATGACAGCCCTGGAGACTTGTCAATACATAGAAAAGATGGTATAACGGTTGAAGTGGCTGATCGACAAGAGACTGATTCGCAAGCACGACTGGAGCAGGACGTTTCTGAGTGGTAAGTGTCAAGTGTTAACACGCTTGTGGTAATTATAAGATGTGATAAAACAAATTTACTCTCACAGCGTAGGATACAGCGTCTTCTCGACATGATGTTAACCACACGGAAATTTTACTTTTTACTATTTTGCTAGCTTGTGGCCGGGCAAGTTGGCGACGTAGAACGTGGGCGGACATTATGCAAATGTGTTACTTCGTGACGTAGAGCCGTAACAGAATAAGATTCGAATTCCTGACGACTCATTTAGGCGATTGCGAGCCGGCTCTTTTTTTTGATAGACAATAACTTTATTTATCGTGCACTGTCGGCTTCACAACTTTGCAGATAGTTTATGCTCACATACAGCTACATGACACACTGCATGAAAGGTAATATTCGAAAAGGCATAATAGGGGCACTTTAAATACTTTAATAATTCTAAAATGACACTAAATAGTACTAAATAAATGTGTTAAATTGTCAGCCCTAGAAATAATTTGAAAGGGAATCTAACATTTTCATATTATTCAAATCTGTAAAAGTAAAATGTGGTGCTATAGTATGTTGACAGGTTGTTATAAACCATTGATAAGATCCAAACAATAGATCTGGGTTCTAGGTCAGGTGCTGTTATACTGACCCGGACGGCATCCAACTCTTTGTTCTTCTGCATCAACTGCTTCTCAAGTTCCACGATTTTAGACATGGCCTCGTTCTCTGTTTCTAAGAGTTTGTCGGTCATCTGCCAAAAAGAGGAACAGTCAGAAAGAGATAGGGGAAAGATGCTGCATTATATTATGTAAATATATATTATCCTGAAAATTAAAAGGAAACTACAAGGAATCAGTTCTAGAAAAGACAAGAAAAACAGACTGGTGTCTAAATATTCGCTCACATGGGAGAGATTCTCCTCCAGTTCCTCCACACGTTCCAGGGCAGCGTTTTTGGTCTCTGCGTCCTCTAGAAGCGTCCCCACGTCAAACAGGTTATCCAAGTAAGCCTGGATCTGCACTTTGAGTTTATCACTTTCAGTGTGCTTCAGCCTCTGTGCACAAAAATACACCCCAGACAGTAAACAACAGTGAGTTTCTGAGTGAGCGTAAAGAGAAGATACTTTAAGTACTATGAACAGTTTTCATACCTCCAGATAGTCATCCAAAGCGAGCTTAGTGAAGTCATACTGGAGATGAACTCTGAAGTTCATGTCCTCTACTGAGTGCACCACAATATTGATGAACTGCATGCACGCCACCTGAGTCATGAAGGGAGTGATGATGAGATTTGACATCAGTAGTGGTGAGAGCTTGTCAGTTTAAAAGGCACTCTAGAGGAGAGGGGAAGGACTCCGTGATATAGACCCACCATGAAATCAATATTGTTGTCTTCATTTTTGAAGTGTTCCATCAATTTCTCAAACCTTTGGGATTCTGAGCAGACCTGAGAAACATAAACGACACAAGTTATATTTTAATAACCCACAGAAAACAACACTGTGCTTTTTGGTACTTTAATGTAGCTTTTTGTTTCTGTAGTTTCTGTTAATGCATATGATTCATTATATATCTATGGTCTGGTTAAGTTTACAATTATTAAACAGTTATTTCCTTGTTATTATCAGGAAATGTAAATATTATTGAAGCGAAATACTGTCATTCATAGGCTGCAGCAAAAACACATGTAAGATTAGATCTATAAAGTGTGGGAAATGTTCTTTTCTTATTGATGTATTGCAGATTTTTATTATTCTATTTCCTATGAAGTTTGTGAATCTGTTTGTAACTACTGCTACATCAATCTACCTCTGTCCAGTGTATGTACTGTATACACATATTCCACTATGCATGTCATCCATATAAATTGTTGAACACAATACATAAAAAAATATTTTTTTTGCTTTTGTTTGCTTAAGCTTCTGTCGAATCGCGATCTCGATTCCATTTCGATTTATCGTGCAGCCCTACATAGTGCTGTTTTAAAGAGGAACTGCTTGCAATCGCTATGTAAAATGCATAATTTTAATTTTATCAAATATTCTGTCTACAGTTTGTTACCTGTCAAAGTAACAAATGACTTCTGTCTTCTAAATTTGGTATTTCACTGCTAATACTATTATGGCTGGCTTTTACAGAACCACTCTTTTGAACAAGCTTAAGAATCCTGTTGGCATTCGTGGACAGGTCTGGTTTAGCTCCCACCTGTCAGATTGATATCCCTTGTATGTGTGTGTGTGAGAGTGTACGTAAAAGGACAACTGTCCAAACAACAGTAAAATATGGTATGCCACAAGGTTCCGTTTTAGGCCCAGTGTTGTTTTCCTTGTATATGCTTCCTTCAAGTGATATTATTAGGACACATGGTCTTTTGTTTTCATTGTTTTGCATAACACACACAACTGTTTATTTCCTCCAGACCAGAACAAATGCCACTAATAATGGAAGTTCTATTCATTGGACCAAATGATCCTAAAAATAAGGTACTACAATCTTTGTCTATATACAGTATATATATATATATATATATATATATATATGCTTCCTTAATTAATA